TTTTTTTTTTTAGGTGTAGTCCTAAACCTTTGATCAGCTGTTTCAGTTTTTCAATAAACTGCATGCTGAAAAAATGTTTTACTCCCATTTTATCTTGTTGCATATTGAAGCTCTACTTGGATCCCTGTTAACATCCAACCGTGCAAAATATGATTTTTTTTCAAATGGTCTTAAACTTTTGATCAAGAGAAAACTATTTCTTGTGATATTTGCTAATGTGTGTGTTCATAAAACAACTTTATAAGTGGTTTTGTATGATTAGTGGATATGACCAAAAATGTTGGAAGTGACAATAAGGAGAATATTTATATTTTTTACAGTCAGTCTTCAGTCAGTGTTAATTCATTCCATTATTTGAAAAACAAAACAAAGCAAAAAGTAAATACACTTATTATTTGGCTTATACTGTATTAGGTTAGAGGCGCTGCTTTTTGGGGAAACTTTCCATTTGACGATATGCTTTTTGGTGTCCAGGAACAAGGCTTGTGCAATCCTTTTGGCTGTGAAGTCTGTGAGGTACTACCTACTACTGAAAACTGTAACATTAAGTAGACTGGACAATACAGACCATATGCAAATTTTCTTTATCAGCATCTCTGTTTTACACTTTTTCCTGATCACTTTAACTCAATTCTGACAGCAGAAAAGTCATCACAACTCTCAATGCTGTTCTCAAAACAATAACGCATTTCTTTACCCACATTAACCATTCTTATTGTGGTCTTCTGTTGCCATAGCCCATCTGCTTCAAGGTCTGATGTTTTGTGCTTTTAGAGATGCTCTTCTGCATACCTTGTTTGTAATGAGTGGGTATTTGACTTTGTCACTGTTGTGACAGTGATGTACACTGTCTTGTTGGTATATATGTATGATTTCTATACATTTACATCAGATGTCGACTTTGGTTGTAAGATTCAAATAATTATTTCTTAAAAGCTAGACATTTTAAATGAGAATAAGAAAGAAAAGTATTTCTTTGTGCCCATCTTTCCCTGTTAATGTCCTACCTGCCCCCTGGCAAAACTTTGCTAGACCCACCCCTGCACAGTTACCAGCTGTCAGCTACTTAGAAAAGGATCCTGGTGTTATTTGTCTCTCAGAAACAGTTCATAACTTCCA